AAAAATGAAAAATAAAAATATTTTTTTAAAAAAGGGATTGATAAGATATTGGTTGAAAAAGGGAAAAAGAAAAATTAAAAAAAGACAGTTAAAAAAAATTAACTTTGAAAGACTAAAGAATCATGGTAAAAAAGCCATGGATTCAATGTGCAGTATTCCCCTAGCGCTGGAGTTCTGCCATTCTCATTGATCGGTAACCTTGGTCTTGGGCCTGCGGTTCTTGCTGATCTTCTGGGGGAGGGGCCTGTTGCCGTGGTTCCCAAATGTCTTTGCCGGAGGTGCAATTGCCCCACCCTTCCCGGGTCTGGACTGAGGAATCTGCTCAGGTTTGCTGTTGGGAGCTTTTGTTCCCTGAAAGCTTTCCGTACAGCTTTGGAGGACGAGAGTGAAAATGGCGGCCTCCCAATCTCCGCCCTGGAGGAGCTGGGAACTCGGGGACCCGCTCCTCAGTGCGCCCCCAGAGAAAAGCAGTCAGTCACTCCCGTGTCCCCGGTCTCCAGCCGCACTCCGTGCTCACCCGGCTTGTGACCGAGCATTTCTATCTCTGGCACCCGACCCCGTGTGGAGTCTCCAAACCCAGCAGATCCCTGCGGTGCGCTTCCGTGCCGCTCCTCCCCGGGGGAGGAAGGGGAGTCTCCCCGGATCTGCCACTTGTTGGGTCCCTGCTGGAGGAGCAGTGGCCCGACTGTGCGACGGATCACGGTTTATGGCAACCCCAAGCTGAGAGCCTGCGCCTCGGCTCCATCTCTGCAGCCAGCTTCCCTGCTCCTATACCTGGGAGTTTTGCTGCACTCAGGCACCCCCGGTCTTTCTGTGACCCCGAGGGTCCTGAGACCACACTGTCCCGCGAGGGTTCCACCCTCCGCTTAGCCACTGGAATGACATCCCTCAGCAGAGGCGACTTCTAAAAGTTCCAATTTTGTGCTCCGCGGCTCTATCACTTGCCAGAAGCGGCCAAGGGAGGCCCCCTCCCCCGCTGTCTATCCTCCTGAATATCGCCTCGGATTCACTTCTCCGCACGTCCTACCTTCCAGAAAGTGGTCGCTTTTCTGTTCAGAGAGTTGTTGCTATTCTTTTCTTCGATCTCCTGTTGAGCTCGTAGGTGTTCAGAATGGTTTGATCCCTATTCAGCTGAATTCCTGAGACCAGACGAAATCCAGGTCTCCTACTCCTCCGCCATCTTGCTCCACCCCCCTGTTCTGGCCCAAAACTGTAGCTTTTATTGTAGTTTTAAATTTGGGTTTAAGTACAACTAAGCATCTTATGTTAGGCTACCTTAATCATCCATTTGCATTTGGGTCTATTTCTGGACCCTACTCCCTTCCATTGATCATACCATATTAGTTCCTTCCCTCCCTTTTTCTGCTTTCAGGATTATCTTGGGTGTTGCTGCTTTTATAATTTTCTACAAGAACTAAGAGTCAGCTAGTCCAGTTCTAAAAAAAAAAAAATACAATAGTTAATTTTACTGGGACTGAGTTAATTTAATAGATTTTAAAGGGAAATGACACCATCAAGTTTCTAACCCAGGACTGTAATATGCTTTTCATTTTACCAAGGCTTCTTTTCTATTCCTAAAGGAGGATTTTGAAAGTTTCTTCATGCAGGACTTGCACACTTCTTTTTAATTTTATTCCAAGTCTTTTGGTCATTTTATACGAGGGTTTTTTTTTATTAGATCCTACTGCTTATTGATTTCTGAGTATCAGTTCTGTACTAAGCCCTTACTGAATATACCTATTATTTTTAATAGTCTTTCAATTCTTTTAAATTTTCCATGTGTATAACCAAATTATCTGCCAACAGTGATGTTATTTCCTTGCTTTCTAATTATTATACCTCCACATCTTCTAAAAGACTTCCAGAAAAGTTAGAAAAGTCCAGAAGCCTTCTTTAAAAAGCTAGACACTGAAGTGCACATCCCTGTCTTGTTTCTGACATTAATAGGAATATCCCTAGTATTTCCCAATCAACAACTTATTGTAGGGTAGAGTAGTTGTATTTAATTAAGTTTTAAAAATATCCATGTGTTCCTGTGGTAATAGGTTTTGTTTTTATTTAATGAAGCATGGATTTCAATTTATATTGAAATGCCCCTTTACCATCTATGAAGATGCTTTTTCTCCTCATATAAACCAATATGGTGAATTATATTACTTCCTAATAATGAAACTTCCTTGCACTTTTAAATTTCACTTAGATGAGTGATGCTTCTTTGCCGATTTTCCCAATATTCACAAGATGAAATTATTTCATTTGTGCATCATTGGACTTGGATATTTTTATATACTCAAATTTTAAAGCACATAAAAGCTTTATCTGGATCCTATAAAAATTGATAGTGCATTGAAATTAGAATCCACTTTGAAATTTAATGCACTCAAGTGATATGTGCAGGTGGTAGTGGTAGGGGTTAATTCCTCTATGAACTATTTCATCTATGATACTTAACCCATTTAGGTTTTCTGTATCTTCTGGAATCTGCCATATATTTTTCTTTAAAATTAACCACTTTATTTTGCTTTTTAAATATAATGGCATGGAATTGGACATAATTGTCTCCCCCCCTTTTGTTTTTGTTAGGGTATTAATGATTCTTGTATTTGTTTCTTAATTGGCTTATCTAGTTTCTTTTTGTACACACACACAAAATCACTATTCAGGCTTACTCTGTATCTTCATTTTCTTTTTTATTGCATTAATTTATTTCCTGTCAACTCCTTCATACTACTTAAATTTCTTCCATCTCTCTAAGAACAATGTTTAACACATTTGACTATTTTTGGACTGGAGTCCTTGAAAGAATCAGAAGTGAGGAACATAGGAAGTTATGAAAACTCAGGGAATTTGGCTATGAAAGGGATAGAGAAGCGCGTACTTAGAAGGGGACATTAGGTCTAGTGATACTGTACATTTGGAATTCTTTTTAGGTGGGTAGAGTTCATCTTTTTGCAACAGGAAGCAGATGGCATGGACTGTCCAAAATGTGTATGCGGTCACTGTTAAGGGCCCACTTGAGGTATGTGGTCATAAATCAAAAATGAGTCCAGTTAGCACAGCTTTTTTCCTCTGGTAACATTCTACAGCTTGGGTATAAGTATGACAGGCACAGTAGGAGACTCAGGCTTGTCTTGGGTCAGGGTTCCGTCAAGTAGGTTTAAAAAAAAGAAAGTGCATGCATGAAATTCTGCCTAAAATTCCATGGGGTTCATCAACATGTAGTAGATGCAGTTTTTGCAAGATAATCCAAGACCATAATACAAAACAGTATGAAGCAGGGAAATGGGTTTCTTAAATGCTCCTCAGAATTTGATACTTGTGTATCAATAACCAACAGCTGAAGCTTTGCTAGGCAGGATAATAAAAGCTATCTTTCTCACCTCCTTGTACTAGCAGTAATTTCTTGTTGGCCTTTGGGGATGGGACCCTATTCGCCTCTATTTTTCTCCTGTTAGGAGGTATATGAGAATCTCTCAGGGATGCAAGTGTAGTGGATTTCTTTATTTAAGCTTACAAAATACATGCTTATAGAAAATTAACATTATAGAAATATATAAAGCCAATCATGAAAGTTCTCCCGCAATTTTACTCCCTTACAAAGCCACTGGTAACAATGTGGTATTACTATTCCATTATTTTTTATAGCATTAACAAGTTATTCTACAAAAATGCTTCCACAACTTGTTTTTTTACCTAAGAGTAAAGTTTGGACATCCAGACATTTCTCACTCTTAATGGATAGAAATAAATTGCATGAAGGTACCATAATCTATTAAACCATCCCTTATTGATAGGACATCTGAGCCAGTTTTAATAATTAAAGAACAAAGGTGCAGTAAACTTGCTTGTGTACATTTGTCAGATTATTACTATTAGGCAGTTTCCTAATCCTTTTAATGAAGAATTAGCCAAATTCAATATATTCTGAAAAAAACCCTCTCCTAAAGGTTATAAACTTATACTCCCACCTTCAGCATGCAAGATGGGATACTGGTATACTTCAGAAATGCTTATTCAAAATTATGGTGCAACTTTTTTATTTTGAAAAAAAATCTGTATCAATTGTTCTTGTGTGTTTTCTAACTACAGAAAGTGAAGGTGGACACATTTTCTTGACTGATGGGGTATCAGGATCCTAAGAGCAGGGTTTCGAAAACTTGTATTTACCACAAGGAATAGGTTATCAGCAACTTAAATAACACTGTTCCAGAAACACTTTTCCTGCAGCCCTTGCTTGCCATAGCTGCAAATACCTCCACTGGTATCTCATTAATTCCTCCAGGTTTTGATACCTGTATCAGTATCCTACTGCTTGGGGAATAAATCCAAACTCCAAATGAGCTTTCTCCACCACCAACCAGCTGTACTCATCACTCAACTGCAGCAGACAATTCTTTGCTCCTAGAACACATCCCAATTTCACAGGTCTGGTTTCATTCACTGTTATGCCTCATCCTAGGTATCGATACCAGTTTCCCTCTCTGCCCTCTCAAGGCTCAGCTCAAATACCCCGGACTCTATGAAGTCTTCCACAGTGCTCTCTGGAAAAAAGCGATGGTCTTTTCCCCTGTGCTACTCTGGCTATTTGCCTTCATTTCTATTACAGCATTTCTATAATAAGCTACTAGGGTCTTGGAGGACATACATCTTATACTTGGCTATCTCCTGAACAGTATCCAGTGCAGAACTTTGTAGAACATGCACTCAAAAACTGTTTGTGGAATAAACATACATAAGTAAGACTTCAAATCCTTTAATCCGCAATTATGAGTCACAGATACTAGTTCTTAAAGGACTAAAACAACCCCCCCCCAAAATGCAACTGCTCCCCTTGAAACAAGTTATTATAGTATGTTTTGTAAGCTTTTTTTAAAAAGGTGTCTTTTAATAAAACTGTCAATTCTATCTTTAGAATAGTCATGTTCAACAAACCTACATATGCTTGATATCTGCATCTTACTTCCTAGGATCTCTATTTATTTTGGAAATAATAACACGGAGGGGCAGTTTATTGTAAAGTATGAAGCAGGAATCATTTAAGCATGTGAGTTTCTGCTTTATATTCCTAGCCAGAGTACAAAATGACTGGTTATCATCAACACCAAGTTTTTTTAAAAAAAAAAAAAGGGAGCCACCATGAAGATAATGCCATATTAAAATCTCTTTCTCTTGATAATTTCTGGCTTCCAGCTGACTGGATGAGTTTCTTCTGTCTGGAAATAGAAAAATTAAAGAAGTTAAAACAAAGTATTATTAATTTGCTTTATATTAACAACTCTCTTCCTAACAAAAATACGGCATCTATTCTAAATTATATTGGTTGGCATTACATATTTAGCAGTTTTTTAACAATTTTAGGAATAGCTGACAAACTCTTGACATCATCTGAACCTAATAAAGGATGAATGGGTTCACTACAAATTTAGTTCATGGTTTTTCAACTCTAATAAAATTGCTATTTAGGTATTCCAGTAATACCAAAGCTTATGATTTTAAAGTTAATTTGCATAGCAATTTATTTGTTTGTGGTTATTCTTGATGTAAGATTTTCCCAATAATTATAGTAAGGCTAAAATTAAAACAGTCTATGGATTCGCTGGCATCAATGAAACCAATACAGAAATCTATGAGCAGACATTACTCGAGATGACAAATACTTTAATACTATAAAGATTATATTCCCTTCTGATAATTTTTTTTTAAATTTTTTTTATGTTATGTTAATCACCATACATCATTAGTTTTTCATGTAGTGTTCCATGATTCATTGTTTGCGTGTAACACCCAGTGCTCCATTCAATACGTGCCCTCTTTAATACCCACCACCAGGCTAACCCATCCCCCCACTTCCCTCCCCTCTAGAACCCTCAGTTTGTTTCTCAGACTCCACAGTCTCTCATGGTTTGTCTCCCCCTCCAATTTCCCCCCTTCATTTTTCCCTTCATTTTTTTTTTTAACATATAA